TCCACCATTTGCAAACAATCCGGTTTCCCGCAGAGGCTTCCCCAGGAGGAAACAAATGTGCTGACCAGCAGACAGTATTCCTGTGTCCTGGAAGTGGTGTTGCTCAATGTAAATCAATGAAGTGGCATTTGAACTTATCAGCCATGCTATTCTGATTTGTGGGCCTGCTCACTCCAGGACCAAGTGCTAAAGTCAAGTTCCTAAGATGCCAAGCTGGAGACTACATCCTGCCAGCCCTTTGATCACTCTTTCTTTACACCCAGCAGTGTTTTGTGTCTCTTTGTTGTTTATTAAGTACCTAATGCCATGTGCCGTGCTTTTAAAACTGTAATACACCCTCTGGGGAACCTGGCCGTGAAACTTCCTCCTGGAGCCACATTTAGGAGACAGCAACGGGTTTATAAGAAGCACTGGTGGCACAATGGTTAAGTGCTCGGATGCTAACAGAAAGATTGGCAGTTCGAACCCACTCAGCGGCTCCCCGGGAGAAAGACCTGGTGATCTACTTCCATAAAGATTACAGCCAAGAAAACCCTATGGGGTATTTCTAGTACTGTCACATGGGGTCGCTATGGTCAGAATCGACTTGAAGGCACCCAACAACAAGGGGTTTACATAACCCTGTTGGCAGCCCAGGCACTTGAGAGGAAGATGATACTGGCTCTAACCATATCCCATGTTTGGACCACCCACTCTGGAGAGTGCTTTCCATTCTCTTACAAAGGGACTTGGGCTGGGGTGGGGGAGCAGCTCTGCTCACAGTGGCCCTGAGTGCCTGCTTGCACTGACCTATTCAGTTCACAACAGTCTCAATTCAATGGTCCCAGTCTGCGCTGCTGTTTCTGTGCTATGTTGACAGGTACGGAACCCCTTCACTTCCATAAAAAGAAAGCACTCGTACAAAGGCCTTTATGTATGTATCAGATTTTACTGAAGATTTTGAGAGATGGAGGGGGGTTACATAGCAAAAATACAAAACACTTAAAATTAAATATTAGACATCCATGAGCTTAGAGACCCTCAGCCATTTCCACCAACTGGGCTCTAGCCTTCTGTGAAGGTATTTGACCATCCTTCCCCCTCCTCTCTCAGGAAGTAAAACAGAAACCAAATTCCTGACCGTTTCTTATTCAGAGTAGCTTAGCCCTCCATTTGTTCTGTCCTCTCTTTCTAGACCCTTCCCTGGGGTTTCTTTCTCACCTTAATGTGCCACCAAACTATCTTCCCAATTAAAAACACTTCTCTCCCTGTCTTTGATACCGGGGTTAGAATGAAAGTTGAAAAGCACTGTTTCTATGCTGGATAGTGTACATGCTAAACTGAGACTTCGGGGCTCTTCACTGGCTGAAACTAGAGGTTTTTTCCTCTAAAAACAAGCGTGTGTGTCAGTGTATGTGTTTTAGGGGTGGGACCAGCAGAGTCAGGGGAAATATTGATACATTAACATTTTCTGAGCACTCACCATGAGTTAGGTGTGCTTCATACATACTATCACCTTTCTTCCTCCCAAAACCTCTCTCAAATCAAAGCTATTTTATTCCCATTTCATAAATGAGGTTACAAAGGTTTCGAGAAGATAAGTCATTTGCTCAAGGTCACACAACTTGTAAGAGGCTAGTTGAGCCCTAGATCGGCTTGGCTCCAGGGTTGAAGTTCTTAAGAACTTAGATTTAACTCTTTGGGGAGAAACTTCTCACTCTTACTCTTAGAGCTAACATAACGGATAATGTTAAGAAGGGGCCAAACACAGTGACACTGGGGATACCTACCTCTGAGGTAAAATCAAACACATTTCCACTCTACCTCGCATTCCTCCTCTCCACGCAGCTGTGGCCCGGAGAGCAACGGTTGGCCAACAGAGCCCCACTTCTGAGGCCCCTGCTGTCAACACCCCTGCTGACCAGGTATGACCTCCTCTACCTCAAGTCCCCTTTACCACACTGCCCACTGTCCTCTGAATGCCAGTCCAGGAGAGAGAGCAGGTATCTGGATCAAGCACACACAGCAATGCAAGAGGCCCTGGGCAAGGTCAACCACCATGGCCTCTGTTCCTCCCTCCACTGGCTTCAGGCCTGAAAGGGCAGAGTCCACGTGTAGACACATACAAATATCAAACTACTAGGGGGTTTCTCTCTTGTGAGGAAGACCATCCCACTGTGCGAAAGTTAACTGGTGGCCCCTAGGGCACAATCTGCTCAATCATCACCAGACCCCATGAGACTGGCGGTCTGTTTCCCTGCCCCCACCTCAGCAGTGCTGCCTGCTAGCTCTAGATTGTGTCAGGAGAGGGGACGAGGTCTCTATCCCTAGAAGGCTCAGGGCCCCTTGCTCACCTCAGAGCCAAATGACGTGCATCTCGCTGCCTTGTACACATTCATTGCTTCATCAAATGTTTACTGAGCACCTGCTGGGTTCCAGACATGGTGTTCAGTTTACAAAGCATCAGAAACAGGAAATGTATAGTCTCCACCAACAGAAACTGAGTCTAGGAGGAAAGACAGACTCAGAAGCAGACAATTATAGGTGCTTCTCTGCAGTCCATGGCAGCTGGAGAGTTGTTTTTTAAAAGACGTACTCCCTTGCTGAAAATACTCCAAGGACTCCCCATCACACTGAGTCAAATTCCTTATCATGGTGTGCACAGTCTAGCCCCTGCCTACCTCAACAACCTACCCATGCATCACTCTCTCTCCCTGTATTCCAGACACACTGGCCTCTTTTCTGTACCTGGGACACATCAGTCACCTTCCTGCTTCCAGGACTTGCCATTCTCTCCACTTAGAATACCTTTCCCTCACCCTGTCTGCAGTTGGTCTTTCTCATCCTTCAGGTCTCAGCTCAAATGTCACCATCTTAGGAAGGCCTTCCCTGATCCCGCTATCTAAAGTGGCCTCCCCAGTGACTCTCAGCCTTAGTACCCTGCTCATTTCCTTTATAGCACTCATCACAATCTGCATTTGTCTTATTTATTTGCTTGCTTGCTTGACCTTGTCTGTCTTGGTCACTGATATATTCGCAATGCCTTGCACAAAGCAGAAGTTAAAAAAAAAATTTGCTAAGTGAAGAAATTAGTGCATTAATAACCCAAGCAAATTAACTGACCTCTTCGTGCCTCACATTCCTCATCTTTAAAATGGGGATAGCATAGTACCTACCATGTTGTGAGGATCAGAAGAGAACATGGTGGTACCTGTACTCAGGGAGCATGTAAAAGGTGCTCTAATGGGCTATCAGACGTGACAAACCCTTCTGCATGAGAAGAGGTGACTTCAAGTTGGCTCTTGAAAACTGAGTAGCAGTTCCCCAGGGCGAAGAACACTACTGGCCAAAGGAACATGTGGTGCCAAAGCCCAGAGGAGGGAAGGATGTGCTGGGAACAATATGTGACTTAAGAGTGGCTGGAGGCAGGAAGGGCACAAGGGAGTGCCAGATGAGGCTGCCAGGTAGGTGGGGCCAGGTCAAAATGCCCATTTGCCCTGAGAGTCACGGTCTGCACTACACCAAGGGGAGAGGCATCTAAATCGGCCGTTGTCTACGGCTGACTGGCTTGGAGTTTGCAGCTGTAAGCAGGTGGCTCTCCTTTAGGCTGTAGAGGTCAGTTTATAACAGGAAGGGAAAGCTCACAGCCAACACCTGGGACCAACTACATCTGCACTGACCTCCTTCCCCACCCCTGACACAAAAAGATTGCTTCCTTCACTTGTGCACTTGTCCTGGCTGAGGTTCACCATACTGTGCAGTCAGTCAAGCTGGAAGGGAGGCAAGGACTGTGATGGTGACAGGGAAGGGGGAGGGGGTCTTACATCAGCACAGACTCAACACACGTACATGTGAGCACATGCCTTCTGCACAGGAAGTCAGTCCAACTCACTGGGTGCCTTGCCCCGCTTCCATATCACACCATCTCTAGATGAGAGCAGGGCCTACATGGCCAGGGGAGTCACGCAGTGTGGCCTGAGGTCTAGCAGAGCCCTGATGCCCGGAGGTGTTTGATTAAAGCTGCTTTTTGATGAGAAGGAGTGCTGGCTTGTGGAGAGAGGGAGACATGATGGCCTGCTTTTTTTCCTCATATGGAATGCTGGTAGGGCTTCCTCCCATCTGCTTACCTAAATACTGCCATCCTTTAAGGAAGGGCCAGCTCCCCTCAAGTGCTACTTCTTCCCTGAATCCCCCACACCCTGATTTCTCTCATCTCTGAACTCCTGTTGCTCTGAGGATCAGCCAAGCCCACTTAATACTCTTCCAACTAACTCCTTAGTTAGACTACAATCTCCTAACATTAACAATAGCTTATATTTATTAAACACACTTATGAACTTGGCCCTATGCAAGGTATTCTACATATATGAGGTAGGTACTATTGCAATACCCATTTTACAGATGGGGAAACCAAGGCACAGTGAAATTAAGTAAAATGTTCCAAGGTCACACGGCTAGTCAGCAGCAGAGCGCCAAGATTCCAATCCTTGCAGTCTGATTCCAGAGCTCTTGCTCCTAACCGCCACTCTGTAACACCTCCTAGATGCGGTCTTACCATTTTTGGAAGATGACACCAAAGAGCCACTAGGTGGCAGCAAAGAGTCAGATCCAGGCCTCTGATGAGCCTGTTTATTTACCGCATCTTGCACCAGGCACTTTATAGACATTATCCTCTCTCCTCACTAAGGCCTTATAAGTATGTGCTATTGTCTTTCAACTTTACAGAGAGGAAAGGGTACGAAGGCTCAGACAGGTTGAGAAATTTGCCCAAAGTCAGGCAGCCAGGAATTCTAGGACTGGAGCCAGGAAGCGAAAACCCAAAGATCAGGGCCCGGAGCAGGTTCTACCCTCCTCCTCCTTCATCCTCAGAGAGTGCAGAAATTGCCCTTTAGGGGAGGGAGTTATACTGCTTGGGGTTAGCTCCAAGGAGGTCACCACCCCAAGAGGCATATTGGCTAGGAGGGATTTTGAGGTTAGTCAGAACGTCAGAACTGAAAGCGTCTTAGACACCACTGGCCCACCACACACCTCTGATAAATGTTCTTGGCCTTCATCACCAACAAGGATGCTGTGTGATGCTGCCCTGGCCTGGCTTCAGCACTGTCACCCCTTCTATCCTGCCTTGGGCTCCTCTGGCCAGGACCAATCCCCCAACAAGCCAGCATGGCCACCATCAGGGAGGATGTTGTCTGTGAAATCCACACCCATTGGAAATGGATCAAAACTAAAGAGCTCTGACTGTGTCCCCTTCTACCATTCACAACAACCTGTCACCTCCACACCTAAAACCCAACCCTCAGGCTGGATTGGGCCTTCTGTGTTAGCAGTCCTGGGGCATGGCAGCAGAAGGGACCAGGTGTGCAGATGCCTTCATGTACAAGTAGTTGTGGGTGCATATACAGGATGAACAGAAAAAAGAGTCCACGTGCCATCCTCAGGCCTCCCAGGGTGGCCAGGGGCTGGAGTAGCAGCAGCGGGGGAACCATCACATCTTGAGCTTCAGTGTTGGTGCCAATGTTCCTGGCTGAGCCCATTGGGGCGTTGGCTTCAGAACTGCCCGGGAGGCAGCTCTGGGGCATTGCGTCCAGGCTGCCTCCCGAATGCCCCACTCTTCTACCTGACATGTCTCCCCAGTCCCTCCCAAGGCTCATACAGCCAGACCAGGTCTTCTGAAAATACACAACATGTTGGGTTTATTTGGGAAGGGGCATTGCAGGTTCAGGAACAGTCTGTTCCTCGGTAGGAAGAGTCATGACCTTGCCTCTCAACTCTCTCGACATTTCAGGAGGCTGCCCCTGCAGGTCCCCTCCCCATGTCCCCATTTCCTGCACACATGTCTCTCCCCTCCCTACCACCCGGGTGTCTATTCCTTCACCAGCCGGTAGATATGGTGCTGAGCCCCGTGCTCACTGGCTGACACCTCGAAGACGTAGGCAATGCACAGCAAGGTCTCCTGCGTGTCTCTGTTGGTGACCACCTGCAGGTGAGAAAAAGATGAGAATTTAGGCCTCAAAAGAGGGAACTCCATTTGCTCTATCCATCTGTCAACTCCCATCCCACACCTGCAGCACCCCCCACACACACACCTGGAGGATGGTAAAGTTCTCCAGCACGCTGTTCATCATGTACTTCTCTGGCAGGTGCTTCAGCTTGTGGATGAAGTTGATCATGTACTCGCAGAGTGGGGACCGGTGGATGCGGTACGAGTAGTGGCCATTCTCATAGCGGGCATACTCTGTCTGCAGACCCAGGGGAGAGCAGGGGCTTAGAATCCCTTTGACCACCTCCAGCCCAGGCCCAACTCCATGGGGAAACGCCACGACCCAGTCACTGTAAGTAGGAAGAGAAGGCAGGAGGCCTGGAGGCCCTGAGAACAGAGCCACCCTTCAAGGTTGGTGGATATTAAACAAGGCCTCCCTCTTCCACTGGTGACAGGGAGAAAATGGGTTTAGGGAGGTGGAGCTCGAAGAGACAAAAGAGCAGCGGCAAGAGGGGAGATGGGATAGAGTGGTCATTCCTGATGGCACATTAAAATAACATGGGGGAAAGGATAGCACAAGGGATTCTTGTGGTGATGGAACTGTCTGACTATGGTGGTAATTATACAAGTCTACACACCTACACACACGAGCACATGTAAAACGGTGAAATCTGAATAAGACTGGTAGATTGTATCGATGTCAATTTCCTGGTTGTGATATTGCACTATAGTTATGCAAGATGTTACCATGGTGGGCAACTGGGTGAAGGGTACACAGGATCTCTCTATATTATTTCTTACAACTGCATGTGAATCTACTATTATCTCAAAATTTTTTAAAAGTTTAACTAAAAATAAAATAACCCGGGGAAGTTTTTAAAAAGCTGTTCTCGTCCAGAGATTTTGAGTTGCCTGATGTTGGGTAGGGTTCAGGCATTTGTATGTTTCAAAAGCTCCCCAAAACCAAACCTAACCCATTGTCATTGAGTCAATTCTGACTCATAGCGACCCTATAGGACAGAGTAGAACTGCCCCATAGGGTTTCCAAGGAGCAGCTGGTGGATTTGAACTGCAGACCTTTTGGTTAGCAGCCGAGCTCTTATCCACTGAGCCACCAGGGCTCCCCGGGTGATCCCAAGGTACAGCCAAGGGTGAGAACCAGTGAGGTGGAGAAAGGTCTCCTCTCTGGTACTAGCCCAGCATATGGTTGTATTTGACCTGAGGTGGTTAACACACTCATGTCAAAAGGTTGGTGGTTCGAGTCCAACCAGACACACCTCGGAAGAAGGGCCTGGTGATCTACTTCTGGAAAAATCAGCCACTGAAAACCCTATGGAGCACAGTTCTACTCTGACACACACAGGGTCTCCATGAGTCGGAGTCAACTTGACAACAACTAGTACTGGTAGATTATCAATAACCAACAGACTGTGAAAGTAAGGCGTCACTAATTTATACAAGTTTGGGGAAAGAAACAGAGATAGGGAAGAAAACCTGCAAATAGTGAAAAGGCTTGGCCTAACAAATCTATGGGAATGCAGAGGATCATAGGCTCTCAGAGTCTGAAGGCATTTTTGGTTAGAGGCCTTCTGGTCCCATCCTCCTATCACTCCCATTACATCGTGGAACCAAAATAACAGTACCGCAGGAGTCTGCATCAATGAATAACAAGAATAACCTGTTACCTGTTTAGGGCTAAATGGAGGATTTCATCCACCCCACTCCCCACCTCCCAAATATCAGCTAGAAGGCAGGGAAGCTGGATTCAAACCCCGGCCATCTGAACCACTACTGTGCACTGCCCTTGGCCAGGGGGATTGGAGGGGAATTTCTGCAACTGCCACTAATACAAGATCTTCAGGGTATCCACAAATAAAAAACTAGGGACATGAACAGTTTTTAGAATTTATGGAGCAGAAAGTGAGCTAGGGTCCGAAAAGAGCAGGGGACAGAGACCCAGGAGCTCTGGCTAGCTCTGCTTCCACCACTGGCTAGCTATGTGACCTGGGGATATCTTTCCTCTCTCTGGGTCTCAGTTGTGAAATGAAAGGGTTGGATAGTCCCCTGAGGCTCCTGCCTGTGCTGCACCTCCACTCTGGGAGAGGACAAGGGGATGCCTGTAAGGAGGTGCTTATAAGATGCACTCCTAGCCTGGGATGTTTAGCAATAGCCCTGCAGGGCTGGGCAAGGCAGTGGCACTAAGGGGACCCGAGTGAAGCACACAGCACTAACAGGACAGAGGAGCAACAAGGAGGTTGACGGATGGTCTGGAAACTGGAGGTCACTCTTCCTGAATGCAGATGGCAGCCACAGCAAAGCCACCTCTGACTGGGTCACTCTGAGCAGGCCTGTCCTCACCTCAGAGGAGCTCTACCAAAGGAGACACCACAGGCCTCCACCCCTCACCCACCAGGTGGCCTCCTACCTCAACTTTCTCCACCACTTGCTTGCCAAAAGAGCAGACCTTGGTGGAACAGGTGATTATCATGTTCTCGGGACTCTCGTACTGGCTGGAAACCCCGTAGAAAGAGCTGCCTTCATCCTCAATGTTGGTGTTGAGGTCTGCCTGGAGGGATACATGGGGAAGTCGAGGAGGTGGTCAGATACATCAGCAGAGGGCCCATTGCAGGGATGGAGTCAAGCAGGCCTCTGGGTCACAGTCCAGGGTCTTGGGCTGGGAAGAAATCAGGAGGGCCTAAAAATAACTTGGAAAGCTTCCACTTTCCCCCACATCCATGCGTGGTATGCTCAGCAGGTTGTGTTGCCCAATCAGAGGAAAAAGAAAACATCAAGACCTGCATTAGTTTCAAGCCACTGCTGCCCACTCAGATGCCAACACACCTAATGTCTTTAGGGCTTAAAATTGTATAGTTTAAGACTTTGTTCCTTTAAATTGCAAAACATTTGAATCTACATCAGTCATTTCTACTTGAGTATGAACGAATTTATCAGAACCTTTCCAGTCAATTTTGATAGTGAAGAAAGCATGGCAACAGGAAGCCAGAAAGGTGGACTGACAGAGGGGAGAGAAGAAGGGGAGGCTAGGGACTCTGGTGTCATCCAGACTTCTCTCTCTCTCATCCTCTGGTCCAGCTGGCCACCAACCAAAACCAAACCAGTTGCCATTGAGTCGATTCTGACTCATAGTGACCCTATAGGACAGAGTAGAACTGCCCCATAGGGTTTCCAAGGAATGGCTGGTGGATCTGAACTGCCGACCTTTTGGTTAGCAACCAACCCCTTAACCAGTGTGCCACCAGGGCTCTACCAGACCTTGCCAATTTAGAAATGGTTCTGGAGACTGGCCTCTTTTCCTATCTCTATGACATTGCTGAGTCCAGCCATCCATGATGTTTCTGCATCTCTAACAGCCTCCAGATCAGTCTCCCCAACACAACTCTTGCCTCCCTTTGGTTCATTCTCTAATGGCTCTGAGAGTTCTCTTCACAAAAGTCTGATTGTATCACTATGTGGCTTAAAGCCCTCTACCTTCAGTTCCTTTGCCACACAGTAATACTCTCAGTTCTTGGCCTGCCTTATGAGGCCCTTCACTGGCCCACCCACCAGTCTTCTAGCTGAGCTTCTCACCACACCCCAAACATGCCTCTGTTCCTTCCACTGCTAAGAGCAGAGCTGGAGGGCAGCATGCTGGATACTGGCTTGTTTTGAATTTTATCTTCAATACTTCTCTCTTAGAAAAGATAAAATAAGACTCTGATGACTTCATACATTGCCTGTGAGAGGGATAAGGCAGGAACTTCTGTCTCCATTTTATCAGTGAGGCTCCCTGATTATGCCTTACCCAAGGTCACATGGCTGATAAGTGACCATTCCCAGGTCTTTAGGCTTCAACTCCAGTGCTTATCACAATCCAGCAGACTGCCAACCAAGGAGAGGAAGGAAGATGTTGGATGTGACAAGTGGTGACTTGGTGACTCTGAGGCAGGAGTTGTATTTTTTTTTTTTTCTATTTTCAATTATTTTTTTTTT